GTTGGACCGGCGTCACTCATCATATAAAAGCTCAGCGCCTTCTTTTGCTTCCGATCTCTCAGGTCGAATTAATTCAACAAAATTTTGCCTCCCTCAGCTTCTCTCTTCTGCGCCGATGGCCTCTCATCTCTCGAATCAAATCAATCGGTTAAAAAAAAAAAATGAGAATAAAATCTGCTTTTTCACCGCCAAAATTAACTTTAAGAACTTCTTCAACTCCACTGATAAAAAAAATAGCTTCAATAATTTTGGAAAAGTACAAGGAAAATAATGGTGAGATTTTTTATTTCATTTCAACTATTTGATTTTTATCATTGGTTCCAATACTGAAAAGACAAAAGGTAGAAACATTTCTATTTTTTAGGTGATTTTAAAACTTTAACATAACATTTACAAATTAGATTTATTTCAATGAAATAGTCAAATAAGCCTCTATTTCATTTCCAACATGAAATTAACCGATAGTTAATAATTTTTAAATTATTTCATCAGTAAAATGTCTCCAAATCTTGATTCCTAGATAAACTAAAAATGAAAATTAGCGCGGAAACGTTTTGCTTTTGATAAGAAATGAGACAGTCTCATGTCGCATTCACGTCGTCCTCATTATATTCCATCGGCGGTTTTTTTGCTCCACTGGAAGACCTCAAACGTTGGCCGACCCATCAACTACTTACATGTCAGTCCTCGCTCTGCCCTCTCACGTCAAAGTGAATCTGTGAGCGTGGGCAAATATAAATGGGCCGAGTGTGTTTGCAATTAGACCGTCGTCTCGCAAGAAGGGTCGGTTTAGCTCAGTCTTTGATGTCGGCTGCAAAAATTGCCGTCCAAAATTGTTGGCCCCGAAAGGGCATATATTTGAAAGTCGTTATATGCGCCGGAAGTATGCAATTTGTCCGACAAATGTGTCGAGCCGGTTGCCTATTCATCATTTCTGTGGCAACGAACGCAAGCCAATTAGGACAAGAAGAGAATAGTCCTTTTTATAATATATGGATGGATTTCATTTTTTCTACACACGAAATTTCCAACGAAGCCAAAATGTAAAAAAAATTTGATGATCAGGTAAAATGTAAGAGAATAATAAGTTGATTTATAGTAAAATAAATAAATTGAAGGGTCGACACCACTTTCCGAATGAAATTCTTTAGTGATTAAATTAATTAATTATAATTTCATAAAATAACTTAATAATAATATTCTTTAAATGTAATTAAAACCTTTATAATTATAACATGGAGAGAAAAAAACTAAGTTTTCTACTCACTTATTAAATTCTTTTGATAATAACACTCTTTATTGTAAATATCTTTCGCTTATTCTCCTTTTATAGTATTTTTCAATAAATAGTTAATTACTATCCAAGCGTACATGGAATCGGCCTGTCTCTTTTCAACGTGCATAAAGAGAGAAGCAATTAAAGTCGGCGAGAAGCAGCAAAAATATCAAGCAAAGTTATTCAATAATGTGCTTCATCTCTCTGCAACTTGCAGGAATTCAAATTAATATTGCCTTCTTAAGTTTCGTACGAATTATTAGCTCCCTTGTTAACTTCTCGTTCTCCTGAACAAAAACTTCTTTCATAAATTTCGCTGTCTATCAATTCAAGTTTTCCTACCTCCCATTGTAAGGTGCTCAAAAATTTGCTCTCACAAAGGAAAAGGCAGGTTTTTATTACACACACATACCTCATTAAAATCGATTTTTATTAAAACATTCTTCCTGCAAACTCCCGAGTTCTTTCATAAAAACACACACACGTGCTGCATTTTAATAAAAAAAAATAACGTTCTCGTCTCTCTTGATGGATAACTTTTGCTGCGGATTAATAATTTTGAACGCGCGCAGGGTGCGTTTGGAGGAAATGTGCGGCGTCAGGAATCCGTCGTTTGCTGGCGCAAACACTTCGGGGCGTGTATAAAAGTAATATATATTTCGGCGCGGCTCATTTGCGTGTGTGCCACGGAGAATGGCAAGGTCGGTTTTGGCGACGTGACGTGACTATAAATCCCTCTCGCCCGCTCTACGAAAGCAATCTTTGCCGCTTCTCAACCTTGAATCACTCAATTGCATTTCATCTCTCGGCCCTGCGCGCGCGATATCAGCCGCTGACACACCAGATATTGGCCTTTCGCAATATCGCCCCCAAGTGCGCCTCTTTCTAATTTTCACAAACTGAAAAGAATGGTATTTTAATTTAAAATTCATATTCAGTGGAAATCTGATAATATTTATAATTCTAATGGAAGATGTGTATTTATCCCGAATAAAATAATTATATCGGAATAAATAGCAATTAATTTAAATTTTCCTTCGTTTTCTTTTTTTTTTTGCACATACTTATTAATGCCCATGGATGATTCCTCTTTTTTTGTTTCAGTATTTTATTTTGCAATGTAGATTAATGAATTATTGTGGACGAAAATTAAGGATTTGCAAGCAAAAAATGATGATTTTTTAAATAAAACTGTACCCAAAAATAAAAAAAATAAAAATGGGTGGTGCCTTCTGCACCAATAATAAAGGGCACAGGCCGACAAGACCTTGACCAAAATAAAAAAGTTAAGTTGCTAATATCGTTAAAATTATAACAGGTATTAGATGAATTTATTAAAAACTTAAAAATTTGCATCACTTTAGTGGGTTTTGAATGTTGCATGAATTTTGATCTGGTGTGGCTTTTATTGTGCTGCGAGTGGAATTAGTTGTGGGGCCAAAAGTGGACGAGGCGCGCCGGCCGGCCGGCCGGCCGGGGTAGACGCAGTTGTAATTCAATTTGTCGTTACACTCATTGCGTCAATCAAATTAGTGCGCTTGGCCGTTAATCCCGCGCTAATGCTGTGAAACAACACGCAGAGGGTGCTTTTCTCCCTCGCTCGTCCTAATATCGTTTTCACTGCCAACCCTCGAAATAGGAATTTCGGGCCAAGAACAAACTGATTCCGGTTTAATTGTGCTTTGTTTTTGTCGCGCGCGTCAATTCATGATTAAACTCGCGTTCAATTTGCCAATTCGCTTTTCGGTCATTGAATAATTCCTCTCGGGCTTGATTTGTTTGATTAGCTCTCGGATCGGAACAAATGATTCGAGATTTTTTCAAACCAGATTTGATGACGAAAAAATCGAATGCTCTGAATAAATCGGTAAAATTTACACAGAGGAAGAAATGTCAAAAGTTGAAGCAACTTTTTGTCAAAATGAAAAAAAAAATAATAAAAACTCACCGTCTGTGTCAAGAGACATTCATTGTTTGTACTAATTGCCATAAAAAAAATGTACAAACCCTTGAGAATCATAATAAAACTCTGCAGAATTTTTTAATTAAGTCATTATTTTTGTTTTAATTTAAAGGTAAAATATATTAAATTTTTGGACTATTTTATGCATAAAATTGATAACAATTTAATAAATTATATAATTTTTTTAGATTCCTTCATATTTGATTGCTCCTTTTCCAATATGAAACAAACATTTTTTGAAAGAGAACCATTTTTTCCATCTTTTCCATTTACTCAACTTTGCTTTCAAAGATTTCACCGTCGTCGGATGACTGATGCCGATTTTTTTCTGCGCCCTCCGCTTTTCCTTCTCCTTAAGTGGTTGCAGAGCGACAGATGGAAAAATGGCATTATGGTTGCGCGACTCTCGCTCCCTCCTAAATGTGCATTAAAACATTGGAATGGAAGCGGCGTTAGAAACGTGGCCGCGCACTCGATGCGGGGTTTGCACCGAAGAAGACATTGCATATATCAAATGTGCAAAAACAGACTCTTGAGAGGGACACGAGGGTATTTTTGCGAACAAACAATCTCCGCGGAAACGTGTCTGGCCATTCGCTCTCGGCCTCGGCAAATTCAAATCCCTGCGAACGTGCCTCCCTTGTTACTTAGGCTGCGGAAAACAAATCCTGCTTTTCTGAATAAAATCGTACACACGTCCATTAATTAAATCGAGACGAGCCCTGCACGTTCGAAAACGAAACAAAGCGTGAAAGATAAAAAAGTAATTTTTTTTAAACTTATTTATTTTTCATAAGACTTATTATTTGTCAGTTTCAATTCAGAACTAGCAATCTAGGAAATTTGTTCAAAATTCAATATTAATGGATATAATATACTTCCGAAAGAAGGTCTGGTTTAATTTTGATGAGTATTTTTATTTCAGAATTGTCTTTTAAATTTTCATTTCAAGTAGACTGTTCAAAATTAAATGCTGGGATTTAATAAAAAAAAAAAAAAACTTCAGTAGGGCTGGCCAAACACGTTATTATTTAGTGGCGATTAAAGGTGAAATCCATGAAAAATTCAAGAACTGACACAATCAATAGGGGCGCCAAAATTGAATTTTCAAAAGCTTATTTCCAACAGCAGTTCATTAAAATCCAAAACATTCGAATTCGGCCGAAGTGGGTCGCCGAAAATGGCCCTTGAGCCACATGTTATTTTTTGATAAAAGCGCGAGGGCGATATGCAAAGCTAGGTGGCAACGAAACTGCCACGGCCAAACAGTTTTATTCGCCGTTTAAATTTATTATTCTGGAAATGTATATAAAACAAAAGCGCTGGGCTAACTATACGTACATATGTGTGAAGCAAAACTCGAGTCGTAAAAATTTTGTCTGCATGACAGGCAGGCCTTTTTTTTATCAAAAGCGCAAAAAGTTTAAAAATGGGCCGCTGAACAACACCGCATGTTCAACACACAAATACAATTTCGCACTCTGCACGCACTCACGCTCTTCGCAAGAGAATTATCGCGGATTTTTTTTTAGCTGCGGCCGAAAATCCATTTCCAGCAGCACCTCATTTAACATTGTTTTATCGGAATGGCCAGACGCGCGCCGACGGTTTTTTCCTCTGCAAATTCACAGATTTTATTGAAACTCAAGCTGTTCTGAATGAGAACAGGAATCATCTGTTGCTACCATGAAATAATAAAATGTATTTTATATACAAACGGAGAAGGAAAATAAAAAATAGACTTCTTCCAAGGAGGAGAAATGTAGAAAAATATTATTAAAGATTCCTATTTATTAACCAGTTTTGATGAATTATTTTCATGAGTAGGATTTCCCAATTGAATTGAACTAAATATTTTTTTATTATTTTTCTGCTGTACCATTATATTTTCAGACCTACAAAGGAATTGCTGGAGCCCTGGTTTTTTGCTATAAACAGGAAAAAAACTCTTCAATTTAATTAACTTCAGCCGATAGATCTCCTTGGCTTCTTCTAGAGCTGATCTAATTTTTGTAAAATCTCTCTTCTCTATCGTGGAAAGTTAAATTTTCCATATAAAATGTAGCATTGGATGTTGCATTATTGGAGGCCAAAAGTTAATTCAAATTTATTTGAAATTAGTTTAATTTTCGTAACAGGGAAGTTAAAACCTCTGAACCTTTTTCCCATAAGATCAATGAACATTATTGCATGATTTTATTTTTTGAGCCGATGTAGAGAGATATATAACTTATCTAGTTTTATATAGATTTCCAGAGCTTATAACTTATTAAATTTGAATATATTTAACTTTATATTAAATTAATTGATCCCTTATTAACTCGAGAAATATTGAAACCCGCATCTGCAAATAATATGTTAGGCTTAAGGATTATTAACCTTTTATTTTATTTGTTTGCAAGCAAACGTTTTGCACCCGTCGGTAATGGCCTTGCAAGGTTCTTTCGACTACTAAATTTTCTCACACCACTGTTGTTTCCCTCCCTCTGAAAGGGGTTGGAGTAGCGTGGCCTCTTTCGGTGCCTCTCCCTCCGTCGGAGCAGCCGGCGGCTGATCTGTTTGCTCCTCCGACATGGATCCGGTCTCTATTTTGAACAATTAATTGGATTAGTTGTCGAGTTAAAGTTTCTCTCACTCGGCGGGCGGGCGGGCGGGCGGGCGCGCGCGCAACGCATACAGATGGCTGCCGGAAAATCAAATTAAATTGCTAATTGGGTTCATTTTTACCACTCGAAAACGCCCGTACGTCTCTCTCGCTCGCTCGCTCGCTCGCGCCCTTTCTTGGATTTAACTTGTAATTGTCTAATTAGCATTCCAATTAAACGCGCCCAAGTACTGAAGCCAAGAACGCGCCACTTAAATTCCGCCCAGACGGATTACTTTCCGATTGGACGCAGAGAGAGGCTCGTCGTTTTTAATTAAGCCCACATTCATATGATAAAATTTCAATTAAAGCAACAGATCCAATTAAAACGACAAATGAACTTCAGCCATTCGCAGAACAATGCTTTGTTGTGATCCGCAGATATACAAATTCGAAAGAGAGGCATCCTCGAAACGCTCGTCCAACCAACAACGCTTTGTTCGCCTCTTGATTACAATTATGCTTCAAGAGGCCGATTTAATTACTCGTTTTTCCTCTCCGGCGATGGACAGAACAAATTGCATCACATTTTCCTTTTTATCTCTAAAAAATATTTTACAAACTATTAAAATAATATATGGAGGATTTATTAATAAACTTGGATTTAAATTTCCGAGTTAAAATAAATTTAAAAAATGTGAGCATAAAATTGCATATTTTAAAGGAGCTCAAATTTTGGCATTTGTTAGAGGCTTTTTTTATATAAAAAATATCTCACTTTCTGTTAAAGATATTAATTAAGTCTGTATTATCAAATTTTTTAATAATGATAATACACTCTACAACCTTTTGTAGCCTGAATAATTTGTTCAACTGCCAAAGAAGCTGAAAGTATTGCTTTTTTAATTAAAAATTAGCCCAAAGTTGTAAAATTTAGTTTTACACTACACATATTAAAAATGGTTATACTTATTTGTTTTCGAGACATTCAAATTTTAAAAAACGTGGTTTTCCGAGCCCTTTTTATAGCTAATTAAGTTTTTAGTTTCTAGTAAAATTCTAATTTCATTATGAATTCAATTTTTCCCATTCATTTGAAGAAAAATAAACTTCTAATCCTGTTTTTTTCTAATGAATTTTCGTCTGTTGCGAACCAAATCTGCAAACCGCGTCAAAAGAATGTTATTATGCAAATCGACAAACGAGTGCCGGATTTCATTATTATTAAAATTCATTATTCATCCCGTTGTCGCCTCTTTATATATAAAATATTTCCCAACACTAATTTGAATAAATTTCCGCAGCCAGCACAAAAGCGGCAAAACTTCATCGCTCTTCGGAAGCGGCAGCAGCTTTTCTTTGCCTTCATTATCAGATTAACCGAGTTAGCAATTTATCGCCGCCGCTGCTAAAGTATAAACACGCTCTCTCTTTATAATATATACACACAGGGTGTGCAATTCCCCGCTGGCAGCCAATGCAAAATTGATAAACAAAGATAGAGACGAGATTACACGCGCGAAAATAAAACCGAAAAAACCACAACTCACTTGATTTAATACATTTGCAAGAGACGAGCTTTGAAGAGCTGCTGAAAAGTTATTTCAAGCAATAAAGAAGGAAAAAATCTTCATAGAGTGTTATTTTAAAAGGAGGACAAACGCGAGTTGAAATTTCCGCAGTTCGTCTCGGCGCAAAGGAAGAAGAAGAAGTTCGAGCAAAGTTGTGTCGCGGCCGCAGTTTGTGTATTTTTTTTTTCTTACTCAGGATGTTGCAAAAGTATTTCAATAAAAGAGAGAAAAGTGTCGCTGCCGTGAAACGGAAATGCCAGACCCGATTTTAATTACATTCCTCGCTGAGGGCGAGAAGATAATTAATTAACAAAATGGGCTGAAAGACAGATTCTCGCATAAAACTTTGCTCATCTTGTTGCGGAAACTTTGGCTCCGCACTTATCTGCCGGGGGTCGGCGCTTCCTTCGTTTATTTAGCGCTGGGAATTTATTTTTTGTCGCGAGCGCGCGCAAAACGAAGAATTCAAGCAGATTTAGCGACGAGACCGGCGGCGCGTGAAATTCGCTCTGCATAAATTAACATTTTGCGGCGAGAGACGGAGGCAGAGCTTTGAAATTAATGCAATCGCACGCTGGCTGCGTGGCCTCTGCGTGCTTTTCCGCTCTCAAACCCTCACATTGTTTACTAGAAACCGTGACCACACTAATAAAGACTAAAATAAAATAAAATTCTCGGTTACCTGGAATGAAAAGTAAATTTAAATCAAACGAAATTTCACCAGAATTTAACCAATTAGATAATTTTTACACTTTTTTTAAATTCCTAATTAATCAAAATTCCATCCGTTTGAAAATTAACAGCAAAATTCATCAGGAATTGAAAAATATTGAATTAAAATTGTAATTATTACGAAAATAACAATGTTCATGGGAATTAAATTCTCTTCAGTAGTAATTTCTTTTTGATTTTGGGAATGTTTGAATAAAAAAAAATATTTAATTTTATGGTTAACTTTATTATTATTTATTTTTTACTTCGTTATAAATAGTTTTAATTTTAAGCTAAATTAAAGCGGAGACGCCACTCCATCGTCAAACACGCAACATTATTTACTATTTTAAATTATGTCTCTATAAATTTTTTTTTATTTTAACTTGTCAATACCAATTAAAGAATGATATATAATTATTCAACAAAATATCAGATTAAAAGTTGAGAGTAAATTGTACTATATTAAATTTTCTGTTGACAAAAATTTAAAAAAAAGTCACTACGTTGCATGCAAAGTGCAGGAGAGTTAATTGGCAGGCACGATTATCTTGAAAATTGTGTGCTAAGAAAATTTAATTAGCAGCTGTGCAACACTTGACTGGTAATTTGCAAGTGTTGCTGAAACTGCGCAGTGGAATTAAAAGTCTGTATGTGGAGGAAATAAATTTAACTGTCAAATGAAATGACTTTTTGCATGTTTTAAATTTAAAATCCGAAAGATTCAATGTTTGTTTTTTTCCAATTAAAAAACATCAATAAATTTAATGCACTTTTGTGCAAGTGCAGCAGAATGAAGAGAGTACTTTTTATGGGGTGATTTGAACCCATTTCCTTGGTGTTCCGACATTAAAATAAATCAAAAGAAAGCTGATCTTCCACGCGAGATAAATCTCTATTGAGAGATTAAGGACAGGTTGCATTAATGCACCGCCGCATGCAGTGACAGGGTTTTTGTCAACGTGTCACCTCCGCCTGATTTATTCAGTTCCTTTTGCGAGCTGAAAGTAGGACGACATTTTATCCTGGCTTTCGCAAGGCGTGCGAATTATCGCCGAGAGATTTCTTCCCATCAATAACAAACACTTTTTAGTCATGATTTTACACTAAAATCACATTTTTTATTACAAGAATGATTGAAAATCACATAAATTACATGAATGTGTATTTTCGAAAATGAAATATTTAAAATGTTTAATTTAAATTTAATTGATTAATCATTTTACCTCTTTTTTTTTAAATCAAACGTAATATCACATCTTATCTTATTTGAATGTTGAAAGTAAATACAAATAATTTAATAATTTTACAATCATATTATTGTTGTTTATTTGTCTGAATTGATTTTTCACACAGTTTGAATATTAGATTACAGATTACTGGATTATTTAAGTAAAAAATTTAAATAAAAAAAATATTGAGATTCGTGTGCAGAGGAAATCTTCAGTTTGTCAAGTAATATTTATTCGACAAAATACAAATGAATAAGTGCCTGCAGGAATTTGAGTTATGCATCCCGCCGGTCTTCAGAGTGCTGCGGGCAGCATCTCAATAAAAAGCACGTGTTTTATTTTTATTCCACTGATTATGGATTGTCTTTGTTTCATTTAGTGAATGTTTATTGTTTGCAGAGTTCGTTTAAACGTAGAAAAGCAACCATCATAATAACGTTATTATGCGGCAGTGGCTGCGAGTCGCCGCCGCCGCGCGCCTTGCCCGCGATGAAAACGCCGATTGAAAATGTTTTCTTGTATTTTTCTAGAAAATACACAAACAAACACCAACAATCGAAACAGGCTGCCGTTGGAAAAAGAAAGAATGTGAGTGAAAGTGGAATTGAGGCCGCGTTTTCCACCATTCTTCGTCCATTCGCTGAGGATTTCATTTTGGAAAAGTTTGAATTCTTTGAAGTCAAATTATTCACAAAAATCAATAATTTACTGTAAATATGATATATGATCTGGAAAAAATGCATAAAAATTGTCTAAAATTAATATTTTTTTCCCAACATAATATTATGAATTCAGAAATGTACAAAATATTTAAGAATAGCATAAAAATATTGTTTAATTTATACAATTTCAAAGCAAAAGAATATAAACAGTTTATTATTTATTATACAATTTTACCAGAATATTAATCTTTTGCATCTTCATTCTGATCAAAGAAATCGCAGAAAAGAGCTGAAGCTTATAATATTCTCCTTTCAAGTGTAAATTTTGCGCGACAAAAAGCGTCCCTCGTTTGAAGCGTGTCGCCGTTTTTTTTTCTTTTTAATTACAGGCGCCCATCTGGCGAATGATATTTTCATTCTTCGCCTCCTTCCAACGCAGGATTTTAATAAAAATTTCCCACCTCTCGCCATTCAGCGAAAAAAGATCCAAGTGCGGTGCACATTTGGCAATATCGATCACTTAATTAAAAAGCGGTCGTTGCGAAAACGGAGTGGAGAGGATTTGCATGGTGTTTTAACTAACTGAGAGAGCGATGAAAAAGGAAGCTTTTAGCAAAAAGTGTTCCCATTCGACGCCAAACTTCTAATCCCCCTGCATTTCCGATGGGAATTTATTGAATAGGAAAATCGGCTCAATCAAATTATGGAGTTCAAAAGCACCACGGAAAAAAGTTTATACGTATATTTTTAACCGCCGATTGACGATAATTTTTGCCCGGTCCTTTTGATCCTTTTTGCGCCAACTGTGACTAATTATTTCCTTCT